TTTTTTTATCCCCGGGGGGGGGGGGGGGGCCCTCCCCCGGGGGGTTTTTTTTTTTTGGGGGGGGGGGGGGGGGTTCTTTCCGTTGGGCGGGGGTTTTTTTTTGGGGGGGTTTAAAAAAAGGTTTTTGGTTTCTTGGTTTTTGGGGGGGCGGGGGGTCCCCTTTTTTTTTGGGGGGGGGGGGGGGGGGGGAAGAGCAGCAAGTGGATGCAAACGGGGAGAGGGTGAGTGGGGGAAGGAGGCCTGTGAGAATGAGTTTGCACAGCACGAAAAAACAAAGGAAGAGGTGCATCGAACAGCGCCCGTACTACGATCCGAAATCTATGGGTTACAACAGTCGTGGGTCCGATATAAGAGGGGGATCCGACATAAGAGGGTTGAAATCGGTTGTCAAGGACTCGACCCACCATGGTACAGCTGGGTACACTATTATTGTTCTGGTATAAGAGGGGGATCCGATATAAGAGGGTCGAGGGCCTTTGTCATACCACCCTCTTACATCGGAGCCACGACTGTACTCTGATAACAAGAGAGACGATGGGGTGACACCGGTAAGGTAAATTAGTTGCACCAGAACATGCCTGCGGCGTGCAAGGAAGTGGATTATATTACGGTAGGTCGGTCGGGGGAATCCTTATCCTTTCACCTAGAGGAAGCACTACCGATGGATGCGGCGTTGTAGCACCGCTGCTGTCTACTACATACTCTACGAGATAGATACCTGAATCCCTGTGTAGAATCCTGCCGGTCCGCTCTCGGAGAGGATACCCTGGATTACCGCGAAGGCGTTTGTCTTCTCTTTCGACGTCATAATCTTCGTCAGAACAACCTTTATATTTTGCGGAGAAAGTTTATCAGTCCATCGGATGCACAGGGTTAGCACAGCAGTAGTGCTACCTTGAGGGGGGAAACAAAACTGTAGATGTTGCCCATGGTGACCATTGCTGTCATGATCTCCGTCGGGAAGGGTTCACAGGAGATGAAACTCACGACTCAAAACGGAACGCGAGCACGTTGGGTGGGAACACAGCTGCGCGTTCGGCAACGTACGGCTAGCGACAAGCCTGTGCTACACGATACACGCGAGCGACGGGGGTGAACAGTGTGGCAAACGGGACGCACACACGCACACCCTAAGGTTATCCCTGAAACAACGTCACGCACACACATACAGTACACGACAAGGTCAAGGACCGCGATCATCGCGACATAGGCTCAATTTGACCGAAGAACATTGTCGAGGGCAAGCGCGCGAGCGCGCTCTATCACCTCGATAGGTATCGTAAAAGGAAGGTGAAACGCCTCTGCCAGGTAGCCCAACCCGAGATCTTTTGCCGTGCTGAGCTCTCCCCGACCCCCCCCCCGCAGCGCCAGCGCCTTCAACCAGCCGTAGCCGTAAAAGTACGCCGCTTTTTCCACCCCGCTCTGCGTCGACGCGTACCACACCCCTGAGACGAACAAACCAAAAAGATGGCATGGGGGTGCGTGAAGCCGTCGTCGGAAAACACGGGTATAGTTCATCGTGGTACTCTAGCGGGTCGCTTGTGCAGCGAATGCAGGGGGGAAGACAGGGAGGTGTTGCTCCCCGTGAGGTTGTTCTTGTGAGGTAGTACCCGACCAAGATTCTAGATTCGTCACGAGCACGAAACTGTTGGATGCTGCTGCTACCGTGGACTTGAAAATGAAACGAAAAAGCGTTTCTTTGTGTTCAAGCGCTTGGAACCAAGATTCTTCCTTCGCGTACAGGTTCCCCCGGCTTTGATGAAACCGAGGGGCAGAGTCTACGGACCATGTAGGCGTTCCTAGTACAAGTACGATCATTGCCCGATTTAACACGGGGTGCGTGTCCAACTGCTGTCGAACAGATGTACGGCAAGCAGAGCTGACCCCCCCGCTTCGAACGGCTGTAAGGCAGGCAGAGCTGAGCCCCCCCCCCCCCCCCCCGTATGTCGTCCTCAAACACACAAAAACACCCACACCTCTGTAGAGCCCGGCGATGCCCTCCCGAGAGTAAATGTCTTTCGCCACGGAAGCGACGGACGGAGGGCAGTCCAGCTGCCGCTCCTCTTGCTTGCTTCGTCTTGTCAACAACAACCCCTCTTCCTCCTCCTCCTCCCCGTCCGCCCGTCTGCCTTCCCCTCCCGGGGACGTTGTTTGTCTGTCCCCGCCCCCGTCCTCCTCGGCCTCCTCCGTCTGCGACGGCGAGGGTCGTCCAGTGCTCTGCTTGGTGTGTGCCTGGAGATTGGTCTTGATTACCTCCAACGGGTACAGCGCCCCTGCGGAGAACATGCCTCCCGCCGCCTGCAACAACGGGCGAATCGAAAGCAAAGAATGCGGAGAAATAACGAGGCTGTTGCTGACGGCGGGTCCCGCCAGGCCCAGGTTATCACTGCGTGGTGTGGATACCCCCACCTCGTAGATAGAGCTAGTGTTGTTGCTGCACCAGTGTTGTTGCTATTCTGGCTACGACTATTGGACAGGCGGATGAACGGCAAAAACAGCTGCAGTCGCGTTGTTGCTGCTCTATCTTCGCGGTCGCACTTGGACCTGAGGGTCATGCGAGGTCCTCTCTTAGCTCAAGCACCAACATGACGAGATGAAACGAGTGCCGTTTCGTGAGCTGCGTTGGCAACGTCTCATGTCAAATCAGTAGTCACGACGAGCCAAAAACACAATAGACAGCAGCACCGACGTCGCAGTGAGGTTTCAAGCTGCGGACGGCAGCAATGAAATGGCAGTAGTTACCAGACCCGAACACGGAGCGGTGATCAACAGCACTACTGTACACTTGAACGACAAAACATTGTCGTAGAGTCCCTCCCCTCCCTCCTCCATTATCATTGATCTGATCTCAAGTGTGGGGTCTAGAGGTTCATCCGTAATCCATGGTGCCGGTTTGGCCCCAAAAGAGCGAGCAAGATCTTGGGGTTACATAGACTCATGTGCGGAGCACGTACCAAAACAAGCAGCTCTTTACGGCGGGATTAAATCCCATACGATGTGACACTCATCTTACCGCCGCGGCAGCCTCGGCAGCTTGCTCCATGACCCCCTTCCTCGAGTCGGGTACCGTTACTGCTGTGTTTTCCTCCCTTTACCCGCCCACAGCGCGTGCAGATCCGCGGGGGGTCCGTAGCGCCCCTTGTGTCGGTTCGGAAAAGAGCAAGAAAAACACAAACCATAAAAAACATGGTCGCAGAGAAACACACACACACAGAGCGTGTTTTGTAAAACTGGCGGGGCGAAACATGCAGAGGACAACTAGCTTGTACGAACAGACACGTCTGCAGTGCCCAGTTTTACGGAGATGCTCACGACGTCCTTGTGTGTCGTCCTACTCGTTGTCAAGTCAGATCCAACACCCACGGTGCCAGGTGCTGGTGCTATCACATACAACATGACACAGAATTGGCACAACAGAAATACACGCGATCAGCACGCGTGGGTGAAATCTTACCATACATTGCACGCAGACACAGCCGGCCATCTAGTTTAATTCGAGCAAGGTTGTGTCTCGAGAGTCTCCTCACAGACAGGCCAATCAACGTGCACCGCCGCAGTGCAACGGGGGCGCGTGGGAGGTACTGTAGTCTAAGATTTCAAATTCGAGTTTGCGGGGTTCTTCTTGTATATATATCCTCACCTACTGCTTTGTTGCAACACCAGCGGCACGGAGCCCGATTGGGTACCACAAACACCGTCGCGAGAGAGGAGGGACGTGTCAAGGGGGCCGGGTGGTGCAACAGGGTGCAATACGCTGAGCTCGCACTGGGAGGTAGTGCTAGGTGTGTTTCGACTTCGAAGGGTACCGGGACTCTGTAACGCCCGTACAACACCACGGTGCCCCTAGAAACTATTATACCACCAAACTAGAAACTAGATGAAAAAAAAAAAACGAGTTCGGTTCCAAACACCACGAACCACGAACGGATCAGTAGGTGTGAATTCGAACTATTTCGATGTCGTCGTGGGTGAAGGGTTTGTCTCTCCAACGCCTCGCAGGGACCACGTTCCTCCTGGCTCTCTCTCCACGCAGGGCAGCTTCTCTAGTTGCGGGTTCGAGGCCACGTTGCCCCAGCAGCGGTCATACGAGGATACTCATGACGAAGACCGCCACACCTCCTGTTCCTCCTGCTGACGCCACGGCCGGAGGCGCTACTGCAAACCCTGCTACCGCTGCTCCTGCTGTGTGGGACGCCGACGCCGGAGTGTGGGTAGGAGACCGGGCGGCTGGGCAAGAGGGCAGCGTTCCTTCACCGCTTTGGATTTTCGGGTGGGTGGGCGCGTGCATGTACGGCCTTGCCTGTCCAAGGTGCTGAGCCCGATGTTTATTTAGTGCGTGCAGGCAAAAACAGAAGCACGGATCTACGCTGCATGCTGCATGCAGTCAGTCTGAAGTAGTTGCACCGCACATTGTGTACGGCGTACGCATTGGCATACAGCGCAGTCAAATACACGAGTACAGCTGCGCGTAGTGCTCACCACGTTGGTCGAACTTGTTTTATCTCCATGGTGGTCTCCGTGTCGGGATACACACCACCTTACCTTACCTGAGCAAGATCGAGTGCATGCCGCGACCGACGGCCGTGTAGCACTTGTCCACGGCGGTCCTCTGACGTTGCATCATCAACCAGCGAGCGCATGTACATGTTGAACTTTCGTGTTTAAAAAGCTTGTCACCGGGTGTTGTATTCTGTGGGGGGTGTGCTGTCATGTGTAGCCCGGGTGATAAATTGCAGGTCGCGGGAGCCATGAAGAAGGTGGGATAACCAGGGTGTTGGATACCCCTGCCACCGCACATTCGTGCAGGGATCGAAGTTGTGTGGAAACTACTGCTGTAAGGGGGAGTGTTCGCACTGCCTGCAAAGAACTGCCTACGGTGCCTGCGGCCAAACGCGCGTGCAGGGGACGCGGAAATGGCGGGGTTGGCAGCCCTGTGATGGTTGCAAAAAATACCGTGCTGATGCTGCACTTGCAGGGTGTGTGGTACTGAGCGGGGGTGATAGCACTGACACTACCTTCCTACAGTGAAGTTCCTGCCCAAGTTGTGCGGAAATGAAGGGGGGGGGGAAGGGGGGGTGATACTCACAGGACCCGGTGATGAAGGCCAACAACGCTCTCTCGAAAACAGCGAAAGGGAAGTCAGTGTTGCCATGAAATCCATCCATCACTACTACTACTGCCTGACACAACAGAGTACGCCACAAGGCGGGTATGGAGAAAGATTTTTTTTTTTTTGCAGTTTGCAGTTTGTTGTGAAGAACCACACGGGCTGTTTGGCCCGGACTCAAGGTGTGTTGCGAATGTGGCCTCCTGGGCCATCTTGTATGTCATCAGAAACCACGGCTTCGTAGCATGGGCTCCGTGATTACATACGCCCTATCCTCAGGGGTGTGGTGTCTTATGTGAGCCGGGTGGTACGTATTCGTCCTTGTTTGAGATCCAAAAACATCAACACCAGGTGCTGTATTCTGTGGGGGTTGTCTGATCATATTGTATGACATGTGGGTGTTTTATCTTATCTGGCAGCGGACCCATACATAAGGCATTTTTGTGGTAAGACACGCAAGAACTTCCGACAACTCATCTATGTTTTAGAGTAGTAGCACCGGGGTAGACACCCGTCTCCCACCAATCACACGCCGACGTTGTAAGACATTTTGTAAGACAGAAACAGATGACTGGGCGATGGGCACGACGCTCGGAGAGGATCCCGGAAATCCTCTTGAAAGACAGACGCAGCACAGCAGGAGCACGTAGAGACAAGCACAGCATACGAGACTGCTGTAGTAGGCCAAGGGCATCCAATGGTACACATCATAGGAGGCGTTGGGTGTGACTCTTGACTCTTAGAGCCCGTTGCCTGCTGTCGGCAGCACAAGCATGGGACGACGCAAGTCAACCTTGTAGTCTGATTTCATCGTCTGCAGGCCGGATCTTTTGAGCTTCTCACCCGTAGACGCACCCCCAAAACAAAGACAAGGAGACGTACACACTGCTGTAGGCCGACGGCGGCCAAAGGTACACATCATGACAGGCGTCGGAAACGATTTTTAGTGCCCGAGACCTGCTGCTAGCAGCGTAAGCGAGGGACACGCGAGTGCACACAAGTACATTTTTTTTTTTACCCTTATCTATGGGAGGTAAGCCTGTTGTCTTGTGTCGTATACGGTAGTATATCTCCAACATTCGGAACGATGTAACCCCGCGAACGGAAGGGGAAGCAAGCGCACTCGTACTTGAAGTAAGACAGGCGCCGCTTTAGATCCAGAGGCACGAAACCCCGTCCACGGAAGGACATGGTCGTCTCCCAGATACCCCTTGGCTGCAGCAGACTCACACGCTCTTGTTTGTTTGGGACAGACCAGCAACTGCCCGCGGGACGATTCTCTTCTCATACCATGCAGCATTCTCAATGGGTATCTATCTGCGTCTCACTAAATAGAAATGGCCTCGTTTTGTTCTGCGTGTATTAAAGAAAAAAAAAGCTCAGATTTCAACGGCCTGCCTCTCTGCAGTCTTCTGCATGACACCGGCCGTGGGGGCCAAACAGATTGCTCTCAGCCGCCCGCCCGTCCCTATGGATACGATATGAACACCGCCGCGTTTGACAGTTATGGCAGTCTTTGCTGGCGACCGGAGGCGTCTTTCGCCGGCTTCGAGCGCTTCAATGGCGAGGTCGTGGGGTGGAAAAGGCTTTTCGCGCAGAAGGTATTCCAATGTTATGTTTCTAGAAATATTGGCATAGATACATACAAACACACACAGGAGGTAGGCAGTTATTTTCGAAGAAGGTGATGCCTTAGGTTTTGTCCGGGAGCGAGGCCTGAGATGTGATGTGATGTATCGCGTACATTCCTTGGAGACACCGCTAAGATCATGCACTCTCTCGGTCTCTTGCCTACGCATGTATGCCATTGGTTCGCGACCCGAGATCCTTTATCTTCAACCAAAATCGCTACGCTTCGTTTGTTGTTGTCCGGTGTGGCCCCCTTCCGCAGAGCATGGATCACAGAGGGACCCCGGAGTTCCCAGGCTTGGTTGCGACTCTTGTTTCAGATGCTGACCTCGAGGTAGGAGCAGCAGTGGTACGTCTGCAAACGAATTTACTGGTATTGGCCCCATCCGCAAGAAACAGCGGTGGTTTTAGTTGGACTGGATTCATGCTGTTCTTCTCGGCATTTTGGGCAATGTGGCTTGCTTGCCTGACGTTGTCAGCTTATATTGGGATCTGGGGTTCATGTTTATCAATTTTATGGCCGGTTGCCCCCGATGGTCTACAATAGCGGTTAACCTCGTACACCTGCTGTTTAGCAGCAAGTTGGGAGTGCGATTCTATGTTCGGCGTGATGAACATGCAATTGACGTAGGAAATGATAGATTTCGCATGTATTTCGATTTCACGGTCGACAAGGGGGGGGAGGAATGTTTGGACCCTGCTCGCGATATCATGAAATCAAGTTCGGCAAGGAGGGCGGGACATCATGGCAAAGAAAAAAATGCATGATAGCTCCTTTGTATCGTCCTTCCTCCTGTGGGACCCCGGCTAAAACACCAACATTCACAGCAGTGAGAGTGGCGCCAGAATAGATGGGATGAACACACAGACATTCGTGGTCCTCGCCGCTCGAAACACGAGCCTTCTGTGATGCAAGTATCCCCAGGTGCCACTCCCCTTTGGTGGCTCGGCATTCGTTAAACCCCCACCAAGTAACCAAAACGCCCATCGTTTCTTACACGTGCGATCGATCACGGCCGCAATCACGGGCGCCGCTGCCAACATGGCAATAGGCTCTTGGCCAGCGATCGGCCAGTGACCCCCCGTCAAGGACCCATGGCGTCGCGTACCTCATACCCGAAAACAAGGCGGAGGAAGTCCTCGCTGGGCTGGACTTTAGGGAAAAGGGAGGATACACGAGAGCGACGGTCGACGTGCTTCCGGCCGGGGGTGAGAATCGAGCTTTTTTTTATTGAAGGTGGTTGTTGGGCAAGCGCTCATGTGGTCGCTCTTGTTTGGGTGAAGAGCAGTGTTTGGGGTACTTGGATACAAGATCCGATCTGTAGAGTATATGTGTGGGGGGGATATGCTATCGGGGGTCCCAGTGCGGGGCCCCTAGAGAGACATGTGTTCACTGTATGCATATAATATCTCTATGTCTGACTGTGCTGGAAGGAGCACGGGTGTGTGAAAATCAAGGTTCATGTCATCTGCATCGGTCCTGGGATAACTTAGTCCCCGCATACTCCATGCGACCGTGGGTGGGCACGGTAGCCCCCGTGGGAAGGCACGGGGGCCACAAACACAATTTACACTTGTTCTCCAGCGCCGCGATCCTACCCATCGCTGTGTTCATCTTATCTCCGAACTCCGTCGCAGCCCTTTCCGCTGCTGCCGCCCTCTCCGCGGCATCTTGTGCATCCGCCATCGGTTAGGCGTCCATTACGATTAATCGTGTTTGTAGCCCCCGTGCCTACCGTAGTAGCCACGGAGTTCAGCGACAAGATGAACACAGCGATGGGTAGGATCGCGGCGCTGGAGAAGAAGTGTAAAACTAGGAAGGCAGCTGGGAGTATAGCCGGGTCGGCGGCTGGGGGAGTGTATACCAGAGGAAGGTCCGGGAAGTTAGACGTGGGCGGAAGGGCCCACACAATTTATGTTCAAGAGGAAGCGGAGAGAAAGCCGCCGGTCTACGATGGCAACTTCGTCTTCTTCCGCCAGGTGTTCGAGATTTTCATGGCCAGCGAGGGTCTGGCCCACACACTGCAGAGATCTGGCAACCCCATGGTCCTGATCAATGGCCCTCCTCGTAGCGTGCTGAAGGAGAGGTACGGGCCACAGCTTGGGATGAAAACGAGCGAGCTCTTGGTCACCTGGTGGAGGCAACGGAAGGTGCGAAATTTCAGACGAAGGTTCTGACGCCTGGGTCGGTGGAAGGAGCTTAGCGTGAGGCACATCGTTGCTGCTTGCCGACAAGCGATGCTGGGATGGAGGCGCTCAAGGGGTCACTTTCCAGTCTGAAGGTGCATGTGGGCCAGCACCCTCTCGACTACTTTTGTCGCTTTCGAGGAAATCTTGGCTAGTCGTGCGGTGGACGTGTGCATACCAGAGGGAGAGCTCGTCGCGAAGTTGCGCCGCAACTTGTCCTCTGATTTCGACGTCGAGAAACGGTCTAGGCTGATGAACCCGGGGATGGCTCGCGAGCTGCTGGAAGACATCGTGTACAACGTCCACAATGAGCGTGAACTCAGCAACCCAGGACGGCAGCACGCTATGTCTTCTATGCCCACGGCTGACCAGCATGATCTTCATTTCGGCGGTGGGGTTTTTCGGGACTGTGGAGGTTTTTCTCTTCAATAGAGGTGTTCCCGTGCAGCAGCCGTTCCAGCAGCAGCAGGCGCACGGTGGGTTTGGCACAATTTTGTGGGTTTGGTCAGCAGCAGCCAGGCGTGGTGCATGGCAGCCATGGTGGATTTCAGCAGCAGCCGCGGCAACAGCAGCTGCCGGCGGCCGGTGGGCAGGTGAATGGTGGAGTGTTTGTTGGTGAGGCGGGGGGGGGGGGCTGCTGCCGGTTCGTTTGCGGCGTATTTGCCGGTAAAAGCCCCTGCCAACGTAACTTCTCTCCATGTTACACACACCCCGCCACTCGCCCCCCCCAGCGGCCCGCGACATCATGTGAAGCACCTGCGGTAGCGCGGCAACGCGATGAGCTGGATCTCATGGAGGCCGGGTGAAGCAGTCGGCATGTAGCGGAGAAACACATGCTCGGATCGTATCACGGCGTTGTAGTTTCGCGGTCCGCGGAATCGCAACAGCCCAAGCAGTCGTCGCAGCAGCAGCAGCAGCAGCCAGCCAGCGGCGTCACTGGTGCCATCATCCACAACAGACGACGTCGATGAGATCCGTCCTGCTGCCCCATCTACAGCGGTTCGGGTATGTGGAATGGCGCCGGCACCGGCGGCGACGGTGGTGTGTGAAGAACAGTCAGAGGAAGCGATAAGAGCATCGAAAGCAGCCGTGTTGGTCCTGGCGGAGCCTGTCGTAAGCAGCAGGAGAGTCGTCAGCACCGGAGTGAAGCGGTGGAGCCTCTTCCGATGCTGGGGGGGGTAGCCAAGGTGCACGCGCCGGCAGCGGTGGCGACAGCGGTGGCCAGACCTGCAGCAGCGGCGGAGACGACGGCATCTGCGTTTCGAGAGGGGCGCGTGGTACCCTTTTGACCCGGGAGGATTACATACGCAGAAGGTGCGTGCGAAGGGAGACCGCAACAACGGTGGTGAGAAGGAGGACCGAGTATGTAGCGGTGGCCGCAACAGCAGCAGCAGCGGTGGCCGCCGCCGCCGCCGCCGCCGCCGCCGCCGCCGCAGCGGCGACGGCGGAGACGGCGCGGCCTGGGTTGGAGCGTCAACGCATCCCTTTGACAGAGGGAAGCGGTCCCGGTGGAGGAGAGCGACCATGCGGGCCGTGCTGGGAGCGGACCTCCCGTGCGACCGAGTTAGAGTTGGATGGGCGCATGCCGGGGGGTGATTCACCGAGCGGCCCCGTCAGCGGCAGCGACGGCAGCAGGAGCAGCGACGGTAGCGGCTGCTTCGGCCAGAGCCCCGTCGGCAGCCGCAGCGGCAGCAAAAGCGGCGACGGCAGCGGCGGCTTCGGCCAGAGCTGCGACGGCGGGAGCGGTGCCAATGGGAGCGGCAGCGACGGGAGCGGCGGCATCGGCCCGAGCGACATCGGCGGCAGCAGCGCCACCGGCATCGACGTGCTCAACGGCAGGAGCGACAGCGCGAGCGGGGATGAGGACCCGCGAGCGGGGGGAGTGTCTACCCTTGTCTGTTTCCCCCCCCGCCCCCCGCCCCCTCCCATGCGCCCCCACAGCGCCACATGATCGCCTGCGAGAGACAATGCGTTGTTTTGTACGTTACTCTCGTTTGTGTTTGGTGTTGTTTACAAGTAGTTCTTCTGGGTTTTGACTTATGTAATTTTGGACCCAAATTTTTGAGTGACGTGCGGAATTCAAAGATAACTGTCTTAATCTACTGTTTGCATTGCTGTCAAGAACCATGGGGGGGGGATTTGTGTACAATGTTTCTAGCCACAGTACCAGCTGAGCAGAGTGCTTTCGCAAGTTGGATTTGTTTTTATGATGTTTTCTTTTTATTCGTTTTGTTGTGTTTTCCTCCAAGAATCAGGGGGAGGGAATGTGTTGTCATGGTTTCAGACGCAACACCAGCGAATGCGTAGTACATATTTTTCTTTATGCATGCAGGGCAAGTTCGGCTGGGGGACTGTTTCGTGCACTTTGATGTTTTGAGATCTTCTGTTGACTGACTAGGAAAGGAAGAAAGCGCAGGCAGATCTACATGTATGTTTCGGGGAAATGTTCCAGGTGGGGGGCTGTTGCGTATTGCTATTGGTTCTGAAGCCCGATAGGGATTCAGTTTCTGTCGCCGATATTCTCAGAACCTATCTTCGAAAACGACCCCACTTTTTCCGATCCCACTTTTTTTACCCCACTCTCTGCATTTCACTTGATTTTAGAGTAGGCGATCTCCGGTCTCTTCTCTAACAGCAAGCTGTTTTTCTTCGGTCGATGTTTCTCGAGCTTCCATCGATAGATTTTCGTGTGGGCTGGAAGAGTTGTCCCTCCGGGCCCGTTCGGCCCCTTCAGCGAGTTTCGTGCTAACGCTTGTGTCAGCTTGTGAGAACGCGTCCGTTGTTGTATGTCTCATTCGTACATCTCCCCCGTGCGCAAACAACCGAACCACCCCTACCTCATCATTACGCCCAGTTTTACCCCCACTGGTCGCATGTACAGCCGCACCCACGACGGGAAGGATGCACGTCCATGGTTGGTACAGAATCATGCACGAAAGTCGACGACTTAGGACACAGCCCTGTTAACAATGAGTGAAACATGCCTCAAACTTTCACCGATCACCACTGCGCAAAAAGGCAGTGCTCGAAGTCAGAGCACATTCACCAGCACTGAAGTGTAGCCTCAGGAGGATGTTGTTGTGTGTACAAAAACTCACTTTGCAAGAAAAGCTCGCCTACGCCGGGATTCCAACCCCTGACCTGACTTCTAGAAGGTTACGAGGCTACCAACTAGACCACCGGGGCGACCGGCTTATGCGTACGAACGAAACCGCCTCCGCGCGCGCCAACGCCCTCAACTTATGTCGTCAGCAGTCAGCAGAGGGCGAACACGAGAGCCAAGCACTCCAACGAAGAAGAATCCCACCGTGCCGGCGATCCGATGTCGTGCAAGACACCACCGCCACGACTGAGTGTTGCAACGCGCCGTTCACTCGTCGGATTGCATTGCATATGCCACTTTCCCCTTGCGTGTCTATGGTTATGGAGGTGTTTCGTTTGTGCACTTGTTTTTAGCGGCGTTTGTGCATTTTATCGAGTGGCGTTTTGTGATCGCCCGACCTCGGCATAAATTAGCGCCTTCGTTCTCCTCGTCGTCCTTCACTAGTACCTGGTACATGTATCGTACCTCTGTACTCCGCGAGGTTTCATTTTCTTATCTGGTCGACTGCCTTTATTACCGCTTTTATTTTGACTTCACTTTCCCGCGTGTGTTTCACTCGGCGGACCTTAGTCCACTTTGTTTGCCCATGCGCGTGTATGACTGATCTTCGCGCCTGGCCTTGCCTGGTTCTGGTTTCTTTTGTGGTTTGCCGTTGGGTTGCAGTATTCGTCGCGCTGCAGACAAACACGTGCGTGCCTGGACCATCACAAAGAATTTCCACCCCACATCTATCTTCGCGCTAATAACCCATCGGGGCTGCCCTCGGTCATTCTCTCCCGTACTTGACGACAGGAGAAAAGTATGTGGTTCACGCTTCCCCGTCTACCCGATAAAGCGTAGCCTTGCCGATCCTCATCTGACGCCAATGGCGACCATGGTCACGGCCGGCGACCACCTGTCGTTTTTCCGACTCGGTACCCATGCCAACGCCCAAGTCAAGAACGAGGAAAAGTGTTGCTTCTTTCCTTCGTTCAACTTCTTATTATCACCGCGAACAACAATACTATCATCCTCGACCCCTACATATATATATATAGATACCCTCCCTGGCCACAAGAAAAGGAAAGGGCTTCAGATGAGGCCGGGGCTACCCCCCGGGCTGTTGTATTGATATTGTTGTCTTGTGCCAAAACTAGTGAGAGGAGGGAGGCCAAGATTTGTATGTTTCGGGGGATGTTGCAGCAGGGGGGCTGTTCGCATGACTGTTTTTTGTTCTGTCGTTTCTCTGACAACAGCGGCGGCACCGACTCTCATGTGCGCGCTGTTTAGGATCTGGTCCTTCGACACTATACTGGAGGAAAGGTTTGACATCTTTTGACGAGTAGTGGTTGGGGTCCCCGTACTTTCCGAATGCTCGTTTTGATTGGTCAAGAAGTTGGAACTTCGTTTTGTTGGGGGATGTTGTGTCAACTCTTTTGAAGCGTTTTTTTCAGATTTGTCCGTCGCCGTTCCGACGCTTTTTTTTCTGATGTAGCGCAGATACTTGTTGGGTACTCTTCTGAGGATGATTCTTTTGTCTTGACGGTTTGAGATTATATCCAGGGGGCGAATACATTTGGTTCGTAGGTGAATTGATGGACATGCTTTGTGCTAAAATGCCTAGCCAGTTTTGGTAGAGGACGTTTCTCAAGTGATTGTTTGTGTTTTTCAATTGGTTGGATGATTGTCCGCGAAGGACATCAAGATCGTATGTTGTATCAAGCAGCGGGCTGTTTGGGTACTTGGATGCAAGACCCGATCTGCAGAGTATGTGTGTGTGTGTGGGTATGGTGTTGGGGGTCCAAGTGCGGGGCCCCTCTAGAGAGAGCATGCACATGTGTTCGCTGCTGTATCATATCTATCTCTATGCCTGACTGTGCTGGAAGCAGCACGAGTGTGTGATGATCAAGGTTCATGTCATCTGCATCGGTCCTGGGATAACTTAATCCCCCCCCACACTCCATATTACCGTGGGCGGGCACGGTAGCCCCTCTGGGAAGTCAAAGGGGCCACAAACAACCAGCAGTGTGCAACAAACTGCGAGCTGTACTCAGTCCTTGATGAATGTTTTTGTCCGAGCTACTCAATGGTACGAAGGTACAATGTGAGGGGCACAATATGTTTCCTTGATGTGTACGGGTGGGTATATACGAAGACGAATGAATGTGGCATGCATGTCTGAAACTGAATGTACTGCTGGGTCTTTGATGTGACGTGGCAGGCGAGGGTGGCCAGAAGGAAGACACCACCAGTTCTGAAGACACCGCGGTGCCAACGCCAGCTTTGCTGTACACGGGTACAACAAGCAATCCGAACTTTCACGTGCCCTCCATCGACGAGGCCGCGGATACCATTGCTTTGGCGGTTGGGCCTTCGGGACCCAACTATGAGTATCTCTTCTCCCTCTCTCAATACCTTGAGAAGGTAAGCTCGTGGTGGCGATGGTTGGGGTGTGGGGATGTTGGCTCTTTCACCGTGGGCTAATCGGGACGGCCTTCCGTTGTGTGTGCGTCACATGTCTGTCTGCTTGTCGGCGTCCGCACGTCCTCTCTATGTTGCCGTTGTTGAGAACTGTGCGAGTTTTCGTCCAAGACGTAAACACTGGGGGTCGACGCGTTTTTTTGGCAGGTGAAGCAAGAATGGATCGAGAACGTCATGAGTGGTCGTTACTACAGACAAGGCCCGGCGGCAAGAAACGTCAAAATCGGGTCGAGCCTCAATTTCTTATTCTGGGCAGAAGGACCAGCCGAAGTCGGTCAATTTCTTAAAACGGATTTCTTATTCCTTTGGGCTGTCGCATCCTGCTGATTCTCCTGTTCCTGCTGTATTTTCTTGGTCTGATGGCGAAGAAGACGACATGCCAGAAGCCTTCATGCAGCATTAAACCGACAGCTCGGCGTGGCGAACGTTGGGGGTTGTGGCAGTACAGAGGTACAGCAGCAGTGGATAGCGCAGCCCGCGGCGGCGCTGGGGCCCGGGGGGCGCCGCGAAAATATCCACTCCGCCCCTACCGAATATTACGTTGACATGAGCTAGGTAGGAGGTGGGAGCATGGCAGCAGCAGCAGCAGCAGTGGGACGTTTCTTTGGACACGCTCCATCAGCTTCTACCCCTTGTTTCTTTTGTCTTGGGATATCGCACGATCATGTTTCTTATTGGGACGTTTTTGATGTTGTGCCCGAGATTGAGCTGTGTTTCTTTAACCTTTTGTCTTATTTTCCGTAAAATTTTGAGCCTTTTTTTCTTGACATAATTTTTCTTAACTGCGGGCCCCATCTGTACTTTATCGAGGGTGCCTTCTACACCCTTCGAGAATTTCGAATTTCGGCGGTGTCCCTCCCTACTTGTCCCCTTGCTTACCCCCTCTGCTGAACAATCCTCGCATGCGCAATGATGGTAGGTTGCATTTTTACAGATTTTCTCTTTCACACGTTCACGTTCTGGCAGGTCGGAACTCCGGACCCGCATTTGATGGAGCTCTCGGACATGGTACGGTCGCGAATCAAGACTCGAGCGTGATTCTGGCATCGAATGAATGTGTTGTTCGTTTGGCACCGGTTTTGAGGGGGGGAATGGCCAAGAAGTTTTTGTGTAATTTTTTATCCTTGGCCGCACGGCGGTGTGTACAGCAGTGTTAGAAGACTTCAGTAGTAGGGCCGACTTTTTCGTGAGGCGCCACTCAAGTGTACGGTGAAGTAGAATATTCGAGTGTAAGGGGAATGTCCGTAGATTCTCCTGTACAATGAAGGTCTTACACGCAGTGTAGGTCTACCTACCTTCAAATGTAGTGCTACAAATCAATTTTTGTGGCAAGCGGTGAGGGAGACGAAAAATAAATAAATTATGTTGCGCCCAGAAAGAGAGAATATCCCATCAAAAGTCGATGCATTTGCCGGTACTGGACAACAAACAGCAGTTACCTCGGCGTCCAAAGAAGAACAAGAGCCTCGCGTTCTCCACGGCAAGGAAGCTCTGGTCAGAGAGTAAGTAAGAGATCCAAAATGAGATGCCTGCCGCCGTCGGACGATTATACTACTACATTTCGAAGTACTACGTGTATTATTGCGCACAACAACGGCGATGTAGGTCGAGGGTCCCTCTCGTTGTACCACATGGATGGTCGTCCAATTGACACGGCGAGAGAAAGGCACCACTACACTTGAGTATATGGCTGCTCCCTTAGCAGTGGTGACTGCTCCCTAGCAGTGGTACACAACAACTGCGTGTGTCTTTATTGTTAGCATCGTGTGTGTGTGTGTTGAACAGGACGCACTCGACATCACATCAATGTTATAGTGCGAGAAAAAACTTCCTTTTTTGTACTCCACTGCCAGCCACCAGCAGTGAGTGGGTCTGTCTCTGGTTCACATGTAGGAACACAGACAGACAGGTGCCGCTGCGTACCCCCCACCTTTCACAGCTTGTCACAGCCACCCCCCATGCCGCACCAAATAAATTCGCTTCTTCATTCTGCGTCAAGGATATACTGCGCATTATGGACTTGCCACAGCCAGTCGTTGTCTTTCAAATGTCATGGTAGCCCTTATCTTCCAATAAACCGTTTCCGTTGCACAACAAGAATATATATGGACAAATCCGGGTCTGTCTGTGTACACATATAATATCCACATGATCGCGGAAGGCGACGGGAGAAGAAGAGTTAGATGAGTGAGTCCGGAATCACGGAACGGGCGTTCACAAAGGCGCGCTCCAGGGGGCTAAGTCTTGTATGTGGTCCCAGACCGGAGCTCTCAGTTGAGAGGAAAACAAGCGTCGCACTCACTTACTTGTGGGTTATTAGTAGGCAGGGCTGCTGCGCTGTTGCGTGATGAAACATCCAAACAAACCGAAATCCGAAGTTAGGTTGTTTGTTTATTTTACTCGTGGACCTTTCGTTTGGAATGGATCATTTTTATTATTATGTCCGGGGGATGATGAGTAACAACCCGTTTCTCAAAAAGACGAGAGCGGCTCTGTCGGCCGTGTGCTTGCGGCTGGTGCTAATTGCGGGTGAAACGTCGCCTTGGGCCCACGACAGGTGAGCGATGACGTGATGACCCTGCTGCCGAATCTTAATCTTTCATTCACACAGCAGTACCCACACGCTTGAAATCAAACCGTCTGGTGCGATATTCTCGATTTTGAAAAATTATTACTCCAAAGTCCCACATTTTGCTGCGCTCTCTTCTCTCTTCTCTTCTGGTGCACATGCATGCCTTTCGCGAACATGAAGTACTGCTGTGTACGGACGTCACTCTATCCAAACAACCAAACGCGAAGCCAACTATTGTCTACCCGTCTGCTCTACGCGCGACACTTGCCCCTGATCACCGCGCGTGCTTCACGGGCGAGAGGTGATCCGAAATGGCAACGGCAAAGAGGCTTCGCCGCTCCCTGCCAATCAATTCCGACCTAAACAGTCACATCATGGGAAGCGGGCAATAAATGACGGGGGGAGTTTTAGAACCATCAACAGCACAGCTTGGCAAATGTACAAGCTGACGTATGCGTACTTACGGACAAACATTGACGGAATATACCACCACGCCTCGCATCTGTGGGCAGGGATAGAAAAGTAAAAAGGGATGGATCGTGGATCTTATATACTGCAGGCAGTCTATACATTCCCGCCGCCGTCAGAGATACAGAGTGTGCCCTCCTCGCCTCCTCAACCCACTTCCCCCATCGCCGCCTCGCCGTACGCTGGCTTGCCGCAAAATCAGCATGCCGAGCCCCGAAAAGCCTCTGCTAGAGACCATAGCCAAGTTGCCCCTCTTCGACTGGATGCGACCGAAGCCACGACGGGAAGTTGCTCCCGGCGATGGCCATCATCATTGCGGTTCAAGCGATTTCGGGAGCAGCAGCAGCAACAACAACGCGGCCGTCGGCACCTGTTCTCCGCGGAAACTCACGACCCCTCGCCTCTCGGCGGAGGAGAGTGCACTGCTGTCCCGGACAGCGCCGGTCAGCACATGTACGTCCAACGTCTCGGCCGTGTCCTGGTCGGAACAGACCACCGTGGTGGGCAGCAGCGATTCGTCAACGGGAGCGAGCGGGATGGCAATCTTCCCTCGCTTGGGGCAAAAATCATCACCAGAGCTCAAGCTCGATATCGTGGGAGGGGATGCCCCGGCCCCCGTGCTGGAGACCCGACTCACGGTCGCTCCAGCGCCCACCCCTGCACCGCCCATCGATATCCCTTGGCGACTGCTGGACCCGGACTCGGCTACCACCCCTATGCAAGAGGTATGTACATGTTTCGTGTGCTTTCGTGTGCTGCTGCTGTGGATGGTGTTGGTTGCACGTGCTCTCTGTCCCATTCGTTCGCCCGGAATGGGTGTCTGCTGCAGGAAGATTGTTTGCAAGATAAGGAATTTTGAAGAAATCGGGTGCAAGGGTTTTCTCCCCCCCTTTGCCCCATCTTTGCTCCCTTACACATGCAAGTAGGGCCATGCCCATTGCCGGCACACCGTCCCTCACGACCCGAAGGTAACCGTTTCGCGTTCTCGATGCCGAGGTCGTCCTTCGATTATTTGTGTCCAACGGTTGCGGGGCACGTGCTCCATTCATGCCACAAAAATAGAGCGAGCATGCGTGTGTTTTTGTTTGCGCGCTTTGTTCCCCCACCACGCTGCATCTTCCACAAAACGGGGGCGTAGTAGCCTGCTGCTTTGTGTCTCGGTGTCAAGGCGAGGATTTACTTGCCCAAGCTTGCAAAACGCAGTTTGACCATCGCGGGATGAAAGGCTGGCCTTTTCCCTGGCTTGGGGTGTGAACCAGTGAACTCTTCGACCTTGGGGATATGTGGAATGCGCGTTCGTCTGTTTTCAAGTTGCTGTGGCATTTGGCACACGCACGGTTCCTTTTTTTCCCACCTCTCAAAGAGGAAGAGAGAACATGTTCCGCGACCATATCCACAAATCCGCAAAAGAAAGCAGTTGGCTCTTCGGCTCGTCCGTTTTCGCAACATCCAAGCACGCACCTGTTTTGCAGTCAACATCAGTATCGATGCTTGACGTGCATGTGGCCCCCGTCCCGACCTTTAGCCGCCCTGCTCTCGATGTACGGAATATCGGCTTTCTTGACACACACACATATATCCATGCGCATTTTTTTGGTAGGTCGCCCAAATGTTTTGTTCTCGTCCGCCATCCACCCGGAGCCGGGGTGTCTCCAATATCGTTGTCCTCCAACCATCCGTATTCACCACCACCACTACATGCGTTGTTGGTTCAGCCCAGCAAACGACGCCCATTTTTCATGCATTCCCACCGATACCGCATCCCCGTTCGCACGCGTTCAATCCAATCTTCGCACGCGTTCATTCCAATCCTCTGTGTCTCTGTGTACAGGAAAGTAAACACGGCGTCTTTTTAGCGGGGTTACAATTTTTTTTTGCATCACCGCCCGCCCGTGTATGTGTATCCCACTTCTTTTTACAATTTTTCGTGTGATTTTATTGGTGCCTGCATGAACACTGAAAGGAGTGCACCAAATACCTGCTGTTTCGGCATCATTTGCTTATCGTTCGGCGCTGGCACGTCATGCGGTTGAGGCGTACAATCAACGCAGTTGCACCTTGGTGCACGCACTCAGACCACGGCTTTGCTTGAACAGAAACCAGCTGGAGGCCATCAGAACGCCATTTCTCGAAAATGGTCGGTCGGGCAGATTGCATCTCTTTTTTGGTCCGGCCATTTCTGGCCTGACAACTCAATCGCTGCGTATCGGCCGGAGAGCCTTGGGCTGATCCATGATGCACACGTTCTGGGATCCCCGTTTCGATGGTGGTGCGGTCCCAACGTTGTACGAGCGGAGCAATCACGCCCGACGGTATTGCACCTCTCTTGTCATAACGCGAAGGGCTGTTGAGAACGATCTGCTGTTCTATCAACTTCACACCTCAGTTATTATCTAAATATAGTCGAACGTCTCTTGAAATTTTATAGAAAAGTAAACATACCTTGTGAAACATCTACCTTTTGAGGCCCGCGTTGGGTAAGCTATGCATAGCACTCCAGTCAAGCGGGGGACTGAGATGGTATCCGCCTTGCAGCAGCAGCAGCAGCAGCGTGCTAGTTTGTTTCTTTCCGGAGGGAACCAGACCAGAACGTCAGTGATGCATTCGACGGTACATTACATTCAACCGTTCTCATCCCCTCGACCGCTACAAGAAGACAACCCCAACGTATGTGAATGACAACGTACATGTGTACCACTTTTAATCCGTAGGAAAAAACGTCACTCAGCATGCTTTCCTTCTATCTATCGCTGCCTCCCCTCCTCCGACTTCGAAGTGGGATGGTTGATGGTGATGGGTGAACGCGACCACGCTTTCTGCGGCTCCTGATGAACGGGCAGAGAAGCGTTGTTGTGGTGGTAGCCCCCTCGGCAAGTAAAACCTACTCGAAATTACGAAATTACAACAAATCAAGGACCCTCGGAAGGACCGCGATGCAGAAGCAGATTTTTTGCGCAAAGACGATGACTTTCTAGAGGCTGCAGCAAGAGATTTTTGCTGTACGGCGGAGATCCTACATGCGAAAGAGCATTCCCCTGGAGATGGACATCCACTGGTGGGCATCCTGAAATCACGCGCACCCACACACAAGTGCATGACAAGTCATGCACACGGCTCGATGCTAGTGGAGAAACACACATGGCTCTGCAGTGCGGTCGCGATGTAATTCAAAGCCACTCATACAGCACATTGGTGTTTTCCACCGCACTGGGACTGGCATATTTTCATTGTCCAGCCGGTTAGTGCGGTCGATCCTCATTATCAAGAGATAGATATACGTCTTGTCGTCGGTCAGTCCTTAGCGCGGTCGCTGTAACATGAGAATGATATACGCACAGATTCTAATTATGAAGACATGCACACGGTTGGCGCGGTCGATGCTAATGAAAAAGACACACACGTGTGTTCAAACGTCATGGGCTACTGATCGACCCACTTCCACCCACCAGACAGGGCCAATCGGTTGGGATCTCGGTGACAACGATAGTAATGAGGGTTATTGTTTTGGGAGTGACGGAGACCAAAGAAAGGGAAAGGGAAGAAAGGAGGACGAAAACGACGATGGAGGAGGAAAACATGGAGTGAAAGAGAGCAAAGGGTTTGAGCCAGATGACCTTCCCGAAACAAAAAACGCAGGGCTGGGGAAGAACTGGCAAGAGATTGTTTCAAAAATGATTATCAATTCATGGCAGCGAAAAGAACGGAGTATTTTCATTGGTCAGCCGGTTAGCGCGGTCGATGCTAACAATAAATACACACACACACGCACGCACACACAAAAATTTATTTTCTCTTCTTCTTGTATTGTTTCCATTTTTTTTTTTTTCTCTTTTTTTCTCTCGTTTTCTGCGCCAGATGGCCTTGTCTCTGCTTGCGTGTGAAGTACCAAGATTGAACCAAGGGGGTGTACCTCTTTCTCTCCGGCCCATTTTGTTGTTGTTTTGTTTTGTTGTTTTTCTTCACATTAAACTCGTGTCAGTTGCTAATCCCAAAATCTAGCAAAGGCCCATGATAGATAGTGACTCCTAGTCTCAGTTGATACCTCGCATAGCGCGCAGAGGAAGTGGAGGATTCCAGAATATCTGTCGTTGATTTCTATTGACTTGCGGACCCCTCGGGGCCAGTTTATTTGAGTGTACCTTTGTAGGGTAAGTTAACCTGTGACCACGGGAATCGGCCGCGTCGAGTGTTGGATCAGTACGGACATACGAAGGTACTGGGTAGAGAGAGATCGGAACGGTTTTTAATAATGTGAAGACAACAACAACAAAACAACACAATGTGCATACCTTAGCCCCGACCAACCAGCCGAGCGTAACCATCGTCTTGGAGAAGCAGGAAGATGTATTGGACACAGGGGAAGGGCGCGTGTGAAAGGCTGCATGGCGCTTGGTCCACTATCCAGCTTAGATGGCACACAGGGATCGACCGAAAAATAAAGAAAGAAAATAACAGAAAACAGCGGAACCAGTGCAGCACCCCGACAACCGTCCTTGATGATCCGCTCGCTGCATGGAGTCCTGAGCCGAAACCTCTTGTGCTTAGGTCTGCATTGCTGAGATGATACGAAATATTATAGTTGGTTGTGACAGGGCTACTACACTGAGTCGTCCCATGTACCCTGTTGCCAGACAGCAGTTGACTCGTGCGGCAGAAATATACATATATATATATGCATTAAAAAATTTCCATCGGACAGCTTGTGGCAACACGAAAACCGTTTTGGTGGATGGCGTGAGCCAATATCGTCGTCGCCCTCAATCCGCAGCTGCTGCGGTGGGATAAGCTGGGAGTGCCCTCCTATGTCGTTTTGTGTCCCAACATACAACTACACAAAGCCAACTCTTCGTCAGAATTCTCCTACATACAAACCAAGTGACAACTTCTTTGTTGTGCTCTCTTCCCCTCGTGATGCGGCCCGAGTTTTGAGGCGTTGTGAAGAGGTTCTTCAAAGGAAAGAGGTTTTCTTGCGTGCGAAAACACAACCGATTGATGGTTTTAATTCTCAGCGACAACCATGTCCTTCGAAGCAGAATTCTTTCGTGTTGGAATGTGGCTCGTGATGTTGCGGTCGGAAGTAGGCCTGGAGTTCTCAAGGTTCTCAAATTATGTGTCATGGCTTCTGCATTGAAGAACGAGCGGTATTGTGCCGCCAGAAGCGTTGATAACGCATGTTTTTCAAAATTGAACCCCCCGTACCGCCTCCTGCCCTCGACACCCGCACTCTCTCTGTTCCAGGCTCTTAACCATTCTCTTGGGCAGATGGAGTTGCGAATGTCGGGCAGGCACACCACCAAGAACTCCACCGCCTGCAGGAGAAAGGACTACAGTCAATTCCACCGCCGGACGCGGTCAGCTCTGCCCGTCAGCAGGACGGACGCGCCCACCGTCGATATCCGCCCTGCCATCCCACTCGGGGGGGGAGGGAGAGTCGAGAAGGATGACGATGACGCTGGGGGCGCCCCGTCGTCGTTCTGGAAGCTGACCCCACCGGCGCCGCGGCCCAGCGGGGGCAGCGGTGCCATTGCGCGTGCTCCTGTGAAGAGCCCGCGGCGCTTCGACTTTCCGAGGAGCCCCCGCGAGAGTCGCCCTGCTGGCAGGGGGCACTTCGGGTTCGAGGGATACTTCGCTGCCGAGTCGACGGCTGCTGCTGAATCCGCTGCGGCTGCTGCAGAGGCCAAGGCCGCGGAATCATCGGGGCCGTCTCGCCAACGACCAGAAGACGACTTGTGCGGCGAGGTCGTTGTGCCTGTTGAGGAGGATGGCTTCGATGATCCGGGTAGTACCTGTATGTTCGAGTTCGACGACATGTGAAGATGCGAGCGAGAAAGCGAGGGCCTCAGCCGAATGGGGCCCGGCCGTGGGTGTGTTCTTTATTTTATGGGTTGACGATCACATAAACGAAACTACCTGTCGAGTTCTTGTTTTTTGACGGGGCTGTGCGGTTGTGTACATTCTTTTCTTGGAGGTGGTCGTGAGAGACGGGGGTGGGGGGGGAGTGACAATGTGGCGCGGTACTTCCTTGTATTGGTGTGTGCGTGATTTGTCGCGCCACTTTGTTGTCCCGTTCGCCCTCCACGCCGTGCGTAGTGACCGAACCTTCGCACGGCCGAGTGCTCGACGAGAGGAGCTGGCACAGCTTTGACTTGCCTTAATGTCACGCCTTTTGTATGTCATGGTTTCAACGGGCGAGGTTGTAGTGGTTGTAATGTTGGCATTCATATTCGAAACATTTGGGCGTTCGGGGTGTATTTCGATAGTGCCCGATTGTTGAAGCCGGCGCGCACAGCAGCTCGTTGGTGCACCTCAATTTTCAAGGTCGTGATCGATTCGTTCGTTGTCCGTCACCATGAGCTTGGGTAAGCGCGCCCTCTTCGGTAACGAGTGTTTGTAACACTTTCGTTTTCAGTTGAGGATCTGACACGTGTGTGTGTGTGTGTGTGTGTGTGTTTGTGGCGGGGACAGGAGTAGGGCACACGCCGTGACTGAGAAAGAAGATAGTGAACGTTTCTTTCTTTTTAGTGTTCAAATCATGCGATGAGGCGGGGGGGGGGTGGGGTGGGGGGTGACCAGGTGGGGAGACTGTGTCGAGGGAGGGTTGGGTCGTACTCGTAGTTGTGGTAGGTAAAAGTAGGCGGAGAGGGGGGGTAGGCGGGACGGGGCCCTAGAAGCCCTCTACCCGCGGTTGTGGAGACGGATTGTGTTTCCTCCCTGTTGGCTAGCCAGGGATATTCGGTTGCCATGTCACCTGTGTTGTTTTTGTGATTTCCTTAGACGCTTATGTGTTGCTGTGACGCTTGAAACGTGCCTTTCTTTTTTTCGGTCTGGTCCTTTTTGTTCTTTTTGCCATGTTTCGAGCGTTTTTGTTTTCGATTATTTACCAAACAATTATTTTACGCGTTACATGTACGGCAATCCAGGCGTTCTCGTGGAGAACATGCCGGGCCTGTCTCCTCTGTTTAGTCTCTTCTTGCAGGGCACACTTGTGTCTCCCGTGTGTGTCTGTGTGTGTTGGTCACTGTTGTTTCGTTCTACAGGCATGTGGCCTGCAGATGAACCTGCCCGTTCGTCCTAGCCGCCCTGTGTTGTCGGGGTCTCATCTGTGTTGACTCTCCACTTCTTAACTTCCATCGAGTATTACGTCCGTGTGCGTTTCCCCATAGATTTCGGCTGGGAGAAATGTGTGCAAAAGCGTGCTGTCTATTATTATTGCGAAAGAAACTTTCGTGTTATTTGGTTGTGCTCAAAGAATCCTTGTTCGTGGGGTCCAAGGTTTTGAGGTCTAGTATGGAACCTTGGCTAGGCCTTCTGTTGCGTGAGGCTGTCGTGGCGTACCCATGCGCACGCGTCCCCCTACTGTTCGAGTTTCGTATATATCTAGGAGTTCCAGGGGGGGGGGGGGGGGGAGGGGGGGGGTTAGAGCTTTTCAGATCCATTTCGCCTTTCTTTCTGTTGGCTGTCTCGGTCCGCTAGTGAGTGTCTTTTTGTGTTGTTTTTTTTTATCGATAGCCAGCCTTTCTTTGTGGTGTCTGCGATGATTCGACGTTACTATCGTGTCAGGGCGAAAGGGAAGGTTTGTTTAGTTCGTCGAAAGCGTCTGGCGGTATAAACTGACTGCTGCGATCATTCACAAATCAGCTAGGACCCATCTTGTCATTTTTTTTTTTATATTTAATCAATCGACAAAGAAAGTTACCGTTCTTTTTTGCGGAGTGCGCGACCGCCGCGTGCATGCATGCATGGCATGTGTTAGCACCACATGCATGATTGTGTTGCACACCGTGTGCCCACATGGACAACAAAACCCAACTGTAACTAACTTGGACTTCGCTCCTGATGCGACTACTAGTTCGAGTAGTGTAGCATTCAAGCAATAATACTGCTGGAGTTTCTGCCTGACGAGAACATCTTTTACGTGGAGAGGGCTCTCCACTAAAGACACACACGACGTGTATAATAATAATAATAGTAGTAGTGTGTTGTTATGATAAACGAACATATAATAATAATACCACCCGTAATTAACTAACTCCTGTATTTAGCAAAGGGGGTACATCAACAAAGCAGGTCGTGCATCACACCAACCAGCTGAGTACTACCGTTCTTTGGATGTACCAATAAAACAAAAAAAGTAGACTGAAACGGGTCTATCACGATTCATTATTACAGTATTGGGTACACTTAGTAAGCATCGATAGAACTCAACATCACGTTGCACCCCCCACGGTAGCTAGCTGATTGAATTGGCCAAAACGTCATCGTACCGAATCGTACCCACGTTCGGAGAAACTCCATCGGGTCCAACTCTCACTGGCATCTCGATCCTCCACAATCAATGCGACCGATGCTGGGTACTGATGTAGTACCCGAAAGAGAGAGGTCGATTTTTTTGTACCCAGAAATGGCCATATAGTCCCGGCGCCGGACGACTCTAAAACCCGCAGAAAAAACATGTACCACCGCGTACCGCACATACATCCAGACGATTTATTTGACTGTTTCTGGGTCCAAAATCGTCCCTTCCGGGTACAGCAGTAGCCAGAATCGGTTACATTGGAGGGTCGAGATGCCAGCGGGAGTGTGCCCAATGGAGGTTTCTCCAAACATGGGTAAGATGGTATATGCCAGTCAGCTGGCCTCCTGGGGGTGCATAAATAAATGCTGTCAGTTGTAAATAAATGGATGGTGATAGAGCACCCACGGGTTCACCCGTTTCTGGCAGTCTGGTATACGGGTAAAAAATAAATGAGCTGGCAGCTTCCCCCCAGGTGCGAGGCCTTCTGACCAATCAGAGGGCGTAACTCGCGAAATGCCTACCTCAGGAAGATCCACAAACAAGAGAGAGAGAAACAGAGAACGTCAGCGGAAGCGGCTGTTACTGCGAGGCGACCCACGCCTCCAACGCGCAGCCAGAGGAGAGCTAAAGGAGGAAGGGGACTGCGAGGGTGAGATTGTTCCCCGAGGTACAGAGAGGGAACTATTATAGGTCGTGACGGCTGCTCTGGGCGGAAGGGAGAGGCAGGAGATAGGGGTACCCCGGGCCGGTTTGGCGTGTGTTTTACATGTCGTCGTCGTCGCCTCGCATCCCTCGCATCACCGTTGCGATTGCTGCGCCGGCAGTCGGGAATGGCATGCCGCAAGAAGACCTCGGGTCGGAAGAGTTCGACGGCTTGCTTCAGCCGAGCGTGTGGGACACTCTCGTTGACCTGTGAGTTTTGTGGCATCCCCTACAATATTGCATGCTTTGAAGCACGGAGTTGTATCGGGAGGGAGGAGGAAGCAACTGATGACCTGAGAGGTGTTGTTATTGTTGTTAAAAACCGTTCAATCTCTCTCTACCCAGTACCTTCTTATGTCCGTACTGATCCAACACTCGACGCAGTCGATTCCCTGAGAGGTGTATTTTTTCTCGGCTCTTCTCCACTTTTTTGGTTAAACTTCGAAGCACAGGCAGATAGTTTCTGATCATGGGGCATGCGGGAGGAGAGCGGTGCAGCCGCGTGATGTGCTCCCCGCACTCTGAGCCGTTCATCGTACAGCCTCCTGCGCAATTCGTGCTTCCCCCCCCTCTTCGCTTTTGCCTCGTCTTGGCTCAAGCAAGAACGGAGGTGCCCCGTTTTGGTGATGCTTGTTTTTGGTTTACGTGGTGTGGTTTGTTGTGTCCCGTACGTCAACCTACGTCTCCTTTTGCAAGCCGGGGGATCTGCTGTCGCATGGGAGCCTTTGTCCCTCCTGCGTTGCAAGTCGGCATTCCGTGCTCCTCTGGCTCTCTCTCTCTTCGCCTGTGTATGTACCCACAACCCGATCGCAATCGTTGACAATTTTTTCGCGTCTTTTCCGAACCAGCAAAAAAAAAAAACTTCAACAAACGCGCATATTGCTATGCTCACCACGTGGATGCACGCGTTTCTGTCTTTCTGTCGCCCCATAGAGGCGACTTCTCATGCGCAGACCTGAGCGGCAGCAACGGGACGGAGACGCAACAGCAGTACAAGCAGCAGCAGCCGCTGCCCTCCCCCCCAAAAACAAGCGGGCGGAAGCGGAGCTTGCCGCAGACAAGCAGCTGGGACAACCTCGGCCCGAAGGCCCTCTCGGAAATCAGCGCCAGCCTGCTCGCAGGCGGCTGGGATGGCGGCGTTAACAGCAGCAACAGCGTCAGCAGCAGCCCGCAATTCCTGGGCCCCCCAGCAGCAGCAGCAGCAGCAGCAGGACCTAGGGCCGATTCTGTGGTCGCTTCCCCGACGGCTGCTCCGTGCTCCCGCGATGATGCTGCTGCCGCATCGCACGCGCTCGTGGCAGCAAAGCAGGAACGGGCCGGAGGAATGGCAGCAGCGGGAGGGAAGGGTAGCAGCAGCACCAGCAGCAAAGGCCGCCGAGGGCCGGTCGCGGGCGGAGTGAAGGCGGGGGTCGGGGCGGGAGCGGGAGGAGGGAAGAGACCGCTCAATCCGGACCGAATGGAGCGGAAAGCCTCGCGGGAGAAGCGGAGGCGGGAGGAGGTCAGTCAGTCTCAATACACGTTTTGAAATTAGGATGATGAAATATTAATGTTACATTGCCCGGCTCCATTATTTCGTCGGAAAATTGAACGCGCTCATGGTGTCCACCGCTTGTGATTTCTCACCTTTTTTTTTGGAAGTTCACGACTTGAAGAGACACACAACGCAGAGGAGGCTCATATAGAAATATAAATATCTGTCCTGCTGTCCTGCATACCCAGCAGGCGATGCCGCATATTTTCCGTTCATTGTGAGCAATTTTTTTCATGTTGCAATGTGAGGTGGCCGGGCTGCACATCACTCCAACTCGTGCCGTGTATTGTGTACGTAGTACGTAACGGTAGGTTTTGATCAAACTGCGGCAGGGTCGTCTGCATTTTGGCAGCACAAGCTAGTACATAATTCTCTTGCCGTGCCATTCTTGCTCTGTTCACTCGTAGAGTTTTTGGTTTGATGTATGCATGAATACATATGCATATATGCATTGCAACATACACACGCATGTATGGTTCATGGATACCCTCGAAGTAAGCAGTTCGATTCCCAAAAGCTGTAGTAGGCCAATAACACGCACGTAACGTCAGTCTGCGCACGAGGCCTCTTATCGGTGTCATCTCATTGTTGTGTGTTCGTACAGCTTGTGTGCGTGCTGGCGTTGGACAACTTGTTTGCCACACTCCTGTTCATATCCGTCCAACCAAGACCGTTTGACCTAGGACCAAGATAAACTACTCTACTTTAGTATTACAAACCATGGTGTGCAATTGCACATGTGGTCAAGCGCAAGACACTGATGTGGAACACGTTCCACGAACGCCTTCGCCAAGGTCTACTATACAGCGCTTCCTCAAGTACAGCAGTACCGTCGTGTCCCGGGTACGAACGACAGGTTTTCGTTGAGTTTTATCGAATGTGTTCGCTTTCCCCCACTGGTTATGGGCGAGTGAGTGCCCGGAGCCTACAAGTAACCCAGGTACACAACTTGTATACCATTATTCAATGTACAGGCGTTTCACCTATCTTTGCTGTTTTTTTTAGTGTTGCGCACCATCTGTCCTCGACCCGCGGGACTACATACACGGATGTGTCATCGATGAGGACAGGAGTATGTAGTACAAGTAGGTTTTGTTTCACATGTTGTTTCCTTAAATTAGAAGACAGACGACAGACTACACGAACTTTTACATTACTATCATTGTACTCGTAGTCGGGGGGAAACTGCTGTATCAGGGTCGGGACGAATTGTCGCTTTTCGAGGTTCGGCTGGGATGTATGCATGCAGTACACAGCAGCAGCATGCGTTGATACCGGGCGCGCATTCGTGGCATAACGTTAGGGCCGTTTTTTCGTTTTTTCCATCTCCACATCGTTCGGTTCGGGTGCGCGCGCAATGTACCATAATCCACCACCGGTGTGCACGTGCCACTTACTACCGGACTCAATCTGTGGACGGACATGGATCATTGTGTTGCTCGTTTTTAAGAAGATCAAAATTCTCAATGGCGACAAACTTCTTTTGGGCGAAGGCGTGCCCAAAACGCTTCTCAGTTAGACCGAAGCCCGAGTAGTAGCTACATGCGCATGGTACGCGGTTGGTGGGCGGGCCTGCCGCGCCTCGGCTTTCTTCTCCCCTCTGATTGGTGTATTCAGACGTGTCGAACCAAAGCGAACCGACGACGAGGCGGCCAGGAAGAGGCCTTTGCTTGAGACGGGATGGCTGAGGGGTTTCGGGGTGTACTCCCACGGCGTTAATCTCATCAAGACTGGATCATGAACGAGATGGCGATACGCGAGAGTTGGAAGCGCCAAGAGAATGACAGACGATTCGCGGCAACAGCAGGGCGGGGCTGAAAGCTGCCAACCCACAAACGCAAAGATAATGAGCCATCATTTTTGTGCGCGAGCGAGCCGTAAAACGGCCGCGACCTCCGCGATGCAAACGTCAGCTTCGTACGTGTGTGTCCGCGGGGGGGGGTCAACAGCCTTCGGCATAACGAATGGATCCGAACGTCAATCGCATCAAATGGCCTCGTGTTATGCCAAGTTCACTTCACCCGAACAGGAGTTGCACAAAAAGAATGGGAAGCACCCGAGCACCATTGCTGTCGAGAGTATCCTTCCCGGTCCTGACCCCCCCCCCCCCCTGACCCTTCCCCCTGTTTTCGCACACGACACACGGTCGGTCGGAAAATGCCCAAAACATTCGTCCACCCTCCCTACGCAGGTTAACGAAAAGTTCGACCAGCTGCTTCAGGTCCTGGAAGAGGCAGAGGCAACCTCCGGCCTCGAGCCCCCCGCCGCGAAGGAGGGCAAGACCGCGGCGCACGCATGCATCAACGGGCGGCGGGTGGAGGTGCTCTCCCGGACTATCCAGGTGGTCAAGAAGCTTCTCCGGGAGAGACGCGAGGCGCTCGCCGGCGTGCCGCCGCCGGCCGACGATACCTTAGCTGCCGTCGCCGCCGAATTTTCTAACGGCTGGCAGGTGGAGGAGGCGGCGGAAGGGCCGGTCCTCGACGGCGGCTTCCGAAGCGAGGTCGAGGAGAACAACAACACTGCACCCTTGGCAACGGAGACCACTGCTGCTGCTGCCGCTGCTGCTTCTACCCACGACGTTATCGATTCCAACGAAGCTGCCGCCGAAGGAGCCGACGCTCAGGCAGAGGCGACGGTTGCCGCAACGATGGTTGCTGCTGCGCCGGAGGGAGCCGCCGCCAACCATCAGGCCCTCATGCACCACGTCGCCATGTCCGTGTCAGGGCACCACCCGTCGATGATGATGGCGCCTGGCTTTACGGGGGTGCCCGGCCACTCAGTGCCCTCACCCCAGCACGGCATTCCCGGCCACCCGGGAGGGCCGATTTTCTTTGCGGTGCCGATGTACATCCCTCAGGGACAAGGCATGCCGGCGGCGGCAACCGCGGCAACCGCGGCAGCAGAGAGTGCTGCTCAGGCGCCCGCGGCGACGGCAGTGGCGGCGCCGTCGTTGGCGGCTACTGCGGCCGCCGCTGCTGATCCGGCGCCGACGCCGGTGGCGGAGGCAGCGGCAGCGGCAGCGGCAGCGGCAGCGCCGGGGGTTGTTGACGCGACGGAGGCCGTGCCGGCCCCCTCGGGCAAGAAGACCTGGGCGGTGCCCGCCGGCATGGGCTACCAGTCGATGATGACCTTGCAGATGCCTCAGTTCGTGACCCAGGCCTTGTCTGGCGAGGAGGGGAACGAGAAGCCTACGCACGCGGTGTGCGCGTAAGTCTCCACCCGCCAATGGTCTTTGCGATTTTTTTTGCTGATTGTTTTGCGGCGAGCCGTGGCGCTTGCTTTTGTTGTTGTTATTGTTGTTGGGGCAGGGTGTGTGTTTGGTGCATGGAAGGGAACTCGAAGCGTGTGGTTGGTGTACTGTGTACGGGTGGGGGTGGGAGGAGTCTGCGTGGCTAAGAAGAGATAGATGGGGGAATACAAGTGAGAGTAGCAGGTTGCCCGATTTTGGGACAAGCATGCTCGAAATGGACCTGATCACGTTCTTGCAACGCTCGTTGCCAAAAGTTTGGCGTGGTGATGATGGTATTTAGACGTCTATGCTGGGGCCGGGACTTGGCGTGTTAGAGGCTAAAGCGATGAGCTGCTGTAGCGTTGTCGAGCAAGTAGTGCCATACGCACCACAGCCCAGCGGCGTGTACATGTAGTCGCTGTTTGGGTGCTGCTGTGTTAGCCGGGATCAATGAAATGGGGCACATGCCCACCGCCTTTTTTTTTCTTCAGGGTAGACCTAGCATACAACTATTTATGAGAATAGTCCTTGGCACCTGTGCTGTGCTTATGGAGTTGCGTTGTTTGTTTCGTCCACCGTTGGTGGGTTGTGTCCAGCTAAAGATGGAGGCGCGCAGAAGGGGGGGGGATATCAGAGAAATAATCAAGACGTACATGGAACAAGAATAAACGAAAACGTACAACATGGTGAACAAATAAGGGTTTAAAAAGGTTTCTAGTTAGTTAATCACGGGCGCAGGGTGGTTGTGGCTGCGAGCTGTTTTTTTCTTCTCCCGGGTACTCGCGCAAGTAGATAGCCCAGCCCGTCCGTGTCATGGTGACAATCGTACAGCCGGGTTGGTACAGGCGTTTGGTAGCGTTTAGAAACGCCCCGCATGACCGTGTGCTCGGTGGATTGTTTAGAAGTTGTCAAGGAGTCCTTCGTAGTCCGGCCTGTCGTGCATTTTTCGCGTAGTGGCGGACGGGAAAGAAAGGGGAAGGATACAACAACGGTATCATGCATATCGTTTTTAGTAGTGGGGGGGGGTTCGGCAGGCAGAAATGAAGTGCTTCGTATCATCGAAGAATTCGGCCGTTCGTTTCGTGCTCGGGCTGTCATGCACACAATGCCAACGCGCTGGAAGACAAATGTGGTGTGGTATGTACCCTCGCACCTTGCGTCGTGTGCCATGGGAGACGCAACGAGATGGACTGTTGTGCAACTCACTGTTGTTTGAGGAAGTTAAACATCAGCAACCACCACACCATCTCTGTCTGGGTTTCACCGCATTTTTTGTTCCTATCGGACAGGCCACATAACAGTCAACACCGGGGGTTTTGGTGTATTTTCAATCTGGGCCGAGGGTACTGATTGGTCAATGGTATGAGCGAAGCCAGAGACCAAGAGTTGCTTAACAGCTGGTGTTCTTTCCAAGAAGTATGAAGCTCTCCGATGCATACGTGATCGATGCCTCATTCATCATGTGTCTCGTTCAAGCAGTATGAAGCTGTTTGATACATATGATCGACCCCCCCGTTTACGTCTTGTGGGTCACGTTGGAGGGGGCCCCGTGAGCCATCCAACGCCTCCTTTTCCCTCCGTCCCTTACGATCGTCGTTCTCTTCTTTGTTCCTGGGTCCACGATTGGTCGGCGCAGGTACGTAGTCATTCGAGAAATATAAGCTAACTCCACCCCTTGAGGCAGAGCACAGTCACCGTTAACCCTTTTGAAGAAAGCAGCGCGTGTGCAACGAAAGGAAAAAGAGCAAGCGCCTCGCTCAAACGTCACAAATGGAGTGAGGGCGGAGGCGAGTAACTGGGAAAATAGTTTACCCAACGACTTGACCGTCCTTTTGATTTGTTCGAAAGGCTTCTACCCATTAGACTACATACAGTCAGCGCTGACTTCCTTGTCTTCTGCGACAAGGCCGGCATCCGCCGCACCTACCTACACGGCGCCGGGCACGCCGCAGCAGCATGGGCCGGCGGAGAGTGCGATCTGGCGCGTGAACAAGGTCGGCCACGCCGCTCGTCTCGAGGCCCTCCGCCTGTTCCCCAAGTCAACTTCACCGGCATCCCCGGCGTCGGGCGTGATGGCGAGCGTCTTTGGCTCGAGTCGTGTCACTGGGCTGCCGGGGGTTTCAACCGATCCCCGACCAAGGCCAACGTCGGGTGCAAGTCGCCGCACGAGGTCTTCGCCGGTCGCCCGCCCCCGCTCCAGATCGTCCCGTTCTTGCAGCCGGGGTACATGCATGCGTGTGACGCGCGCGAAGAAGATGAACCCCCAGGCGGTGCTGTGCTGCTACCTCAACACCGGCGACAACCATCACGAGTCGGCGGTCAAGGTCGTCAAGTTCGCGACGGGGCGCGTGTCAGCATGACCAACAACGTGATGAGGTTCCCCGACCGCACGCCGTCCCTGACACCGCCACTTCAGCTGCCGCCGCCGGCGAGCGAGGGGGGGAATTCGGGTGTCGCCACCGCGCCCGACAGCGCCGCCGTACCTGATTCGAGTACGTTTCGCCACCTCTTTTCCCTCCTCCGCCGTTCACCCGATCTCCCACTCTCCACTCTGTTGTTTCCACACAGGCGCCGTCGGCCACTTCCACATCACCGTCGCCGGCGGCGCCGTCCACTGCAGGGACACTATAACCGCCGTTCACCACCATCGCACCGCCGGCCGCGCCGTTCGCCGCCACGCCGCAACCGCCGTCCACCGCAGGGACACTAAAACCGCCTTTCACCACCATCGCACCTCCGACCGCCCCGTTCGCCGCTCCACCGCAAACACCGTCCGCCGCCGCCGCTCCGCCGCCGCTCCGCCGGCCTCTTCATCTGCACCATCGCTGCCCGTGTTGCCACCCGGCGCCGCGCCATCGACCAACATGCCGCCGCT